GTGATAATTTACGTGCTGGGATATTTTTTTTATTTTTTGAAAAGTTGGGATATTTTTTATATATGGCAAAAGTTGGTGCATTTTTTTTATTCTCTCTTTAAGATTAGTTGGAAAAAGTTTTAATAAAAACACATCGGATTTGGGATGCGTGAGCGCATGTCCGATATGGATCCAACCGACGAGTCAGGAAAGTTGCTCAAGGTGAACTTAAATAGTCTTAATAATGGAAGCAGCAAATCTCTTTTGCCTGTTGCTTCATCACGCCGCCGAGGCGCCGCTACAAATGAGAATAATGGCAATAACAAGCAAGAAAAGCGGAAGAAGAAAGGAAAAGTTGCTGCTTGGATGAAAAGAATGCGCACTTTCAATTTCTCGTATCTACTGTTGACGTCCGGGGGCAAGCGCTCGATTTCGCATTGCATTTTGCTTGTTGGTGTTGTGGTCGTGATGGTGATCAGCGGCTTTGCTTTAGTGACATTAGAAATACTGGGTCGAATGCGATTTAATGGGTATTTCATGCCAAAACGCGACCACAACGGACAGCTGGGATTTTATCACGAGATGGATGTTAATATGCAGACTGTGAAAGACGCGACGGGTAGACCAGAGGGCAAATTGTTTCCATCATCAGGGCTTAACACAAGAGAATTAAAGGCGTGGGTGGCTGAGCGTAGGAAACGCACGAATGGTCGAAAACTTCTTGTTGGTTGCTCATCGCATTGGAAAGGATACGTACTGCGCTCATTTTTGTCATTGTTTCAAGAGCTCAAAGCCGAGCATGGATGGGAAGACCTCGATACGTCCAGAACTCCGATGAAGGTGCTCTATGATATGGACCGTATACGAGCTCCCAGTTGTATGCTCTTCTGTTTGAACTCGTTTTCTTATCCTATGGCGCTGTTACAAGAGTATACGGCTTATATTCACGAATTGCGTACTCTGGGAACTATTATTGTCGTGTGGAACGATGACTTGCACTACTACGACCAATTTGATCCCATTGTATTGCGCGACCAGATATTGACAAAAGTCGACGTAATGGTTGGTACGTACGCGTATTTTATGGACGACTATTTTGCTAGCGTAACAGACTCGGTAAACGAACGCGACTTGCCTCTAACAGTGTGGATTCCACATTCGTCGGGTCTAGATTTCGTTAATTCATCGTTTAACGAGTATCCGATAAACAAAATACTATTATCCGGTAAACTTGGCTCGAACTGGTACCCACTACGCCATTGGCTAGGAACGTATCAACAGAACCATCATGACATGATGGACTTATATCAACATTCTGGGTATTACGTCGCAGACAACCAGTCAGCCATCTATGCGTCCTATTTGCGCTCATACCGCGCAGGCATCACAACCACGCTGATTTTTCAATATGTCATTGCGAAGATCTTTGAGATCCCATCCACAGGGGCGCTGCTGGCTGTGAACCGCGATGTCGGGCCACTACTGGCCGCACTTGGGATGAACGAGGGCGAACATTATGTGGGATACGATCGACGAGACCCAGAAGCGGCTATATGGTGGATAAATAACCCTACTAATTGGCCTGAGATCGATCGGATCCGGCGAGCTGGCATGGACCTTGTCAGAGAGAAGCATTTAGTGACAAATCGTGTGAAGGCGCTAGACCTGTTTATGACGGAAGGCGAGTCTGTGTACAAAAGCCCGCTGAAATTGCACCTTTCGAGCCCATGCCCGTCGAAAGCGCTGCCGAACGTAAACGAGTGCCAAAAGCGATTTGACCGTGAATCATTTTACAAATGCGACCGCTGGTTTTGCGGTGCACACTCACTTGTAAAGCTTTGGAGGTAACGTTGATCGATAAAATAATGCATGATGTAATTTCGCTGCCGGTGCCTCTTTAATCAAGTTTGCAACACTGGTATTGCGATGTTTGTTAAAATGTTGGCGTGCCTTTGCATTGCAGTGTTCGTCTAGACACATTTTTCTAAATACCTTGACTATAAAGCTAGAGACATGCTTGTCATAGGCGCGACACAATCGTGACTGCTTCCATCGTTTTTACGAAGTATAAGCTGCGATAGCTTTTGCCGTTAAAATGTAATTTTTTAACTGCTGCTTATTGATAAACGATCCCGGGATGCACGTTGTATTTCTAATTGTTTGTTAGCCTTAATTCTCCAGTGGCAATATGATCCACAAGAGGTCTAGAGAAATGTAGCTTATTAAATTTATAGCACATCGTCGTTTCAAACACAACCACACTTAAAGCGCGATGGGAGTCGGGAATATAAGCTTGAACAGAGAGATAGTTGTCAGGTATGAAAGCCTATGTTCGCGGTTTAAGCTAGAGAACTAATTACAAAAGTGTCGTGGTGCTTGTTTTATTCGAAAATCCAAAGGCGAGCGAATCCATAATACCAAGAATCTACGAATATCATTTAAGTGAACACTGCCACATGATCATACCGCAATTACTCACCGTAAACACGCCGCCTACTATTGCACAGACACTTGTTAGAAATTGTAAGAATCCGACACGATATTGTTCGATGCGAAACATGATGGGCGAGAAGGAGTAGCTGAATGCAACCACTACACATTTGTGTTACGATAAAATTTCAGTGTCTCAACTCATAATGTCTGTGAAAAATTGTAATATCGTACTTGGGAGGCCGTTATCCCCAGCAGGCGTGAGCTCACGGAAATGCTCAGTGGCTGAGAATTGATTCGTACTGATACGGTCAGCAGATAGAAAAGTGTACTCAGTTGGTACAATCTGAAAGCGAAGAGTGCACAGCGTAAATACCGAACTTAAAATCATCTTTGTACAACACGTACTTTAAGAAAGTATTGAAACGAGCCTCGCGAAGTCTCAGGAAGCTGCTTTTGACGGTTATTCAGTGGGTTGTTCATGTCCTGGATTTGAAAACGTATTGAGTTAGCCATTGAAACATAAACAGCGATTTCAGATATTATACCGGATACAATTCGCCGAATGACAGCGAGTGGATGGTGTGGGATGTGTCAAACACTTTAAAGGTGGCATCGACCAGGTCCTGAGAAGACAAGTATCCCGAGCGAAAAAATTTGGACGGAGCAAAGTACAATCGGCCAGCCGCCTTCAAATGAAAGAATAACTGTGAAGCGCAGATTCGATTATCATTTTCAGCCAAACTGTATCAAACCTTAGAAACGACAAGCGCTCCTTTGATGCGACAGCCTTCATTCACTTCTCCACGCAAAACTTTTTCAATCTCATTCTCTTGACACTGCGCGATCGTGTGCAGACTTGGCATCATCCATGACTTTCGATCGTACGCGACCTTAACTGATTCACAAGTGTTACAGCACTCTCCCGGTTCACCAGCCGAATAGCAGCTCCCACATGCGGGTCTGGAGACACCAGAATATGTGTGTAAGTATCATTACTAGACTCTATCCTGCTGCAAATATTCGCCCACTTCTCTGCCTCCTTGTGCAAATCTGTGTGATTGGTCAGCGCCCCACCGATGACATCGCGCATCGCTTCAGTCAAAGCCTGGCCATTGGGATCTAGCGATATTTTCTCAATGTCGTGCATAATGTCATGCTGTGCGTTTCCGGCCGAGTCCGCATATTCAACAGCCACAACAGAGCAGGACATGCGCGGAAACTCAATGTCAAAATTTATGGAAATGACCCTGTTACGTCCGCCGTCTACCATCATCTTGTCAACTGTGTCCGTCTTGAGGTAATAGCTCAATTCCGACACCAGTAGAAGCAAAATACATGCAAAGGCCACCAGTGAAAATATACCGCCTTGCAGTGTACGTACTTTAAATTCGTCAATTGTCTTCGGGTACGCGTCTAGCCTCTTGAGCCGTGACAGCCACGATGACGACCCGGTCGTCATTATGCTCGCAAATATGATGATGCCACGAAGCAGGGCAATTAGGCACACGAAGCAGAACAATCATTCTCGTAATTATGTGTTCACCACACAAACATCGGTAATATGGTGTATTGTTACATAATGTTACAGCGTCCACGCTGGAAGTACAAGTCTAAGATCCCACTCCGTGTCACTCGCTGTTCTGGCTTGCTTCACTACCCAGATTATTAGCCTAGACTCCCAAAATTAAATGATTCCCTCGATAACGACGACTCGTTAAAGAAAATCTCCTTCAAAATTAAAATGGAATCGATCTTGGATTTTTGCTAGAAAAAAATCATAAAAATTGTAACACCGGGATTGTAAAGACACCTCGGTCACACTATTGCTCTGGATTATTTAGCCGTTCAGACCTATCTCTCGTACTTTGAGGTTTTCTTCATACACCAGGGTGAAAACAAATACTACCAGAAAGGAATACAGTAATCGATCATGTTTTCCATTACGGGATATGCAATGACATTTGTGTTTTTCTGTTTAAAAATCAGAACAACAAATTGTATACGCCTCGTGGTCAAACTCCGTTTGATCATTAGAATGAGTGCAGCGAGGCTGCCGTATCTCTTTGCTTAGAAGAAGCTTAAGGTCACCGACCCTACTTTTTTCAAGAACCAGTACGAGTGTAGCGGAACGCAATCCGCTACTTTAAAGTACTAAAACCACAACCAAGGCAAACGAACACTTCTGTTCAAAACTGAAACTGTATTTAATTGTTGTAGTTGCGGCAGAGTCGCCAATATCTAAAATCCTAGGATTTCCTAATTAATAAAGTGATACCGAATTAATATAGTCACACCACTGTGTGATTACACTAGCTTGTGTAATGCACGCCTATGTACGGTCGCACAATCTTGTGCGATCCGCCCTGGCTTACGAGGGCACGTGTAACCCCGTTACGCTCCCCCATTAAATTGTGAATATTCCCAAGTCACATTCAACGGTCGCCACGTACGATGCTCGCGTGTCTGAGACATCTAAACGTTCTTTAAGAACAACTTTAAACATTTTTCGCTATATGAGCGTCAAATCTACAACACGCAAAACACCCAGTCTAGCTGGTAGCAAGATCGCCCGACGGCAGAGCCCTTCTTTTTCTTCTGCACAGGGTGCATCTCCAACAGTACATCCGCGGCTTCACGGTAAGCACATCACAAGCCCTCGGAGACTCAGCGCAACACATCGCGTCCGCCCTGAGCGGTGGAGTTCCTCGTCGGGGAGTTGGAGGAAGTCGACTACGAGTCGGACACTCTTTCCCGGCATGGTAGGACGAGGAAGATGAAGTGCACCAACAGCGAGAAGTGAGGCCAGCTCAAACCTTGCGGACACCATGTCCGTTCCTCGACCTCTCGCTTCTTGGGGAAGTGGAATTTTTACCAATCGCCTCGACGAGGCACAGGAGCAGCAATCGGAGGCTGCTCACTGGGTAGCTCTTCTGGGCTCGCATCCACGTTCGGTTTTAGACCCTCCTGTGACACTCGGCGGATCTCGCTACTGAAGCGACAGACGCAATCACTCGATCGTTAGGCGTCTACGTCGTCGGGCCTCCGGTCACTACACAAGCTGAGTTTGATCAGCGGAGAGCTCTCCGAGCTCGTTTTTTGGTACCCCAAGAGATCCCAATGGATCGGTACCGCGCTTGTCTTCAAGCTCAAAAAGGAGGTGCTCCTGTTCCCGCACTCAAATAATGACGATAAGTTATTTGAGCGATGGGTGCAGCGGCAACGGATACTATCTTCGCTGTCTACCACAGCGAAGCCACAAGGAAGTGGAACTGCTCGTTGAATGCCATCTTAAATTTTTTTTGCCAAACTCAAGGCGCAACACAAACTTCCAGTGTATTGTCGCCCTGCGACATATCGAGAGATCCGTAACGCTCCCACGAGCTTTGTGTTTTCTCACACGGGTGAGTCTACGACCAGGGTCATAGCTTGAGCTTAGCTCATGGTCCTCCAGCTTCCCTGACTTCTACTGCGAAGCGCGAAGCGTCATGATCCGTCTGATCATTTGCATCTACGACGTCTGGGCAGTCTTGCCGAAGTGGCACCTCAAACTCCCACGAGTTCTCGCAGTTTGGATATCCCCGCCACCTCACCAGATACTGGTTTAGACCCCGTCAACGACGTCGACCCACAAGACGTTCTACGTAGTAGTGAACGCCACCATTCTCATCGAGAAGAGTCGGCGGTGGGCGATGACAACTTGGTCGATTGCCGTCCGGTGACTCGCGATGCTCTTCGAGCGTTAAAGTACAAGGTCCTTACATGCTCCCGGGCCCTACACACATATCATCATCTGCGTATACGGCGACGGCGCCGATCAAATCCGTCGCTGACGACATATATGAGCAGCCGCATAATCCGGTCTGCGTGACAACACATCAGCCAAAGCATTCTGGTTTTCTCGCCTATACTTCACCTCTAATTTATATTCTGCAAATCCTCTGCAAGAGGTCAGGCGACTGAGTCACAGTGCGTAGTGACGCATGATCTGGGTAGATCACAAACGGCTTTGAGCCAAGCAGGTGCACCCTCCTTGAACTTGACAAGCTCTTCATCTCCACAAGTAGTTCCCTGTCGTTGATTGGGTAGTTCTTTTCCGCAGCGTTAAGCTGGCAAAATTCGAGCGTGGTCACACGATCTTGCCCCTCGGCGTCTGTTTGTAGCACTACACAGCCATTGGCAAAAATATTAGTGTCACAGACGACACTGAAAAGACGATTGTGGTCTGTCAACGTCAGTATTGGTGCATGAAGGAGGCTGTCTTTGACCCTGCCAGAACCCTCCCGATGCTCGGTGTCCCGACACCATTCCTTATCTTATTTAGGGATATTAGACAATGGCCGTGCCATTTCGAAGATGCACTTGTCTGCATTGACATAAAGCTCATTCGTGCGCATGCTCTCGAGCATCGCTCCTAAATGGACGATGTGGTTTTTTTCACATCTGTCCTCCCGTGCTCCGCACGACTGTGGACGAAGATGTCGTCGAAGAATATCTGTGCATACGCCCGGTGGGGCTGAACAACTGCGTCACAAGACGATTTAATGTTGCTGGCGCATCGGACAGCCCTTGGAGTATCACCAGCCACTCCCAGAGCATGCCGCCTTGTGTACTCACCGCTGTCAGCGTAATGTCACTCGCTCTCATGAGCAATTGCTAATAACTATCGAACACGCCGAGTGCACTGTACTTTGTACAGCCAACCATGTTGTTCTGGAGACCATCCTTCCTAGAAATCGGCGTCTGTGCCGAATTGGTGGAAGTATCGAGATTATAAGCGTGAACAATAAGCCACTTGCCGTTCGGCCTCAGAACACAAAATGTGGGTGTCGAATGGGGAAACTTGCTCTCACGCACGATTTCTGCCTCGTGCTTCACACGGAAGAAGGCGTCAATGAAGTCAGACTGCTCTTTGTGCAGGATCCATTGACGTGTTACGCAGTATTTGGTTCCCGGAACTAGACCGATCTGTCTCGGGGTAGGACCGACGGTAGGTATTCGGATACGACGTTTCTAAATTCCTGCGTCAAAGGATAGTACGGACCCGAAAGATCCTTCATCATTGACGATCCACTTCGTGCGTTCAGCACTATGAGTGTGCTCGAGGACACCTTCATCCAGAAGCGATGACGAGCTAATCTCCTCGTCCGGTCGTATAATGACCACCTCGGCTAAACGGCTTGCCTTAAAGGCACCGCGGAACTCTTCGAAGGACATCTCGTCCAGCTCAAGAAAATCATTCACCGCGGGAATAGCCTCGATGGTGACGTCGCCGTCTCCCCTCAGTCATACTGCTGGCAAGGGTATGTAGCTGTGTGCTATCGTCTACGGTAGACACACCCTGGATCAGGGTCGACGTACTGCGTCTTACAGAATAACATACGGCATCGTCGTCTCCTCTCTATAGAGGTTTTACATCACATGATGACCACGAGAACATCACACTCAGCGTCGCTCAGTGTCTCCACTCCCTGCTTCATCGGAGCCTTGATGGTATTAACATTTCTGCAGTCTTCGCCCAGTGGATAACGCGCCAATCCACGTGTATCACTGGAGCCGTGCTCGTGATGCCTCGGACCTCATTTGACCATGCCAATCTTGGCATGCAGCATCTGGTTCAAACGTGAGCAGTGCTCGGTAGGTTATGTACCACTCCACGTTCAACCCGCGAGCCATGCTTGGGACTCTTTTCCAAGACACCTTTGGTGTTCGACAACTCGGATACTCCGATGTTCAGCACATTGACCATCCTGGTTCAGTGCTCGCGCCAATATTATATTTGCTTCCTAGCAGAGGTGAGTTCATGACTCACCAAAGCTCTACTTGGAGACGTGCGCGTAGCGCCCACGATCTTCAACCTCCAATCGACCCATGGATCATTGTGTTGCAACCATGCCATACCAAGGATAAGGTCTATCTCGACTCTAAGTCTAAGACTAAGCAGCGTTCCACGCTATCTTGACACCGAGGTCCACAGGACCCTCGGCACAGTGACGCAAGTTTCCGTTGCCAAGCGAACAGTGACGGTGTCACTCAACCGCGCTTCCAGCACTTCAGCATACAGCTGACTTCTTTCAATCGTGAAGCTTTAAATTGCCCGACGCCCCGGAATCGATAAGGATCTTCCATGGCTTGTCAAAGCCTTTCACGGTCGCTTTTATGACCAGTAAGCCCGGCTTTCATACACGCTCTGTGTTGAAGAGCACGGAGCTATTCGGGGCTGGGCTTTGTTGCCCTGTTCATATTTGAGGCTTAATCGAACTCAGATCTTCCCCAGTAGGGCGCCCTGCACCTACTGGGTATTGTCATTTCCCCGCAACAAACCAGACTGGTTACAAGCGGGACGTTGGTTCGACGAATTTTTACGCGCCCTGCGCAAGCGACAACCCGTCCGAAGGTGACGGGTGTCTTCACAAACAAAAGACCGTCGGGTGTTTACACGCAGCTCGGCAGCTCGAAGCT